ATCAAGTATACACAACACAGTATAGACAGCAGACCGTCTGCTCTCCAGCCATCGCTTGTTAAGAGCAGAATCCATTTTTCATTCGAGTTGAAAACGGATTGAGTGCTAATTTGATGTTTGAAATGCCAATTGTTATTGTTACTTTGTTTTATAAATTTATATTTAGATCCGGATTATCTTATGTACTAATTTTGTAAATTAAGATATATTTGTTGGCAACATTTTTATTATCTAATTCAATGAATGTGAAGTTTTATTGAATGTCAAAACGATATGTGGGAGACACTTTTGTATGAAATATTTAGGCGTCATTCTTAGCTATTGTAAACATATTAATAAATTATATTATAAATGTGAAAAGGTTAACTCACATTTACGCCTTTTGTTGTTTGTCACGCCAAAACCACTAAAGAGATTTTAAAATTCTTTCGCCACTGGTAAGCTACATTATTACCGCGAAAAAGCTAGTTAATAAATAATTTTTATATAGTGTATAGGTATACCACAAAGCCATTTCTCAATAGTTGAATAAATAATTCACTTTTGACTGTCGTTGTTTTTGAAAATATTTATAAAATACATTGAAAAAATATTAATTTACTAATGGAGGACTATTCCTGCTGTAACTTAAGATGTTATATGTAATGATTTATAAGAAATAGGTTATTTTAAACGTTGGGATCTAAATATTGGAACTGGTTAAAACTAGTATTCATAGAAATTCAGAATTGTCTAGTATTTATATTTACTTTCCATTAGGTGACCCGTCTGCTCGTCTGCCCCTCTAACATAAAAAACAATAAAAAAAAATACAGTAATAATAATAATAATTTAACAAAAGACAGTTCAAAAGCTAATTAAAATGAATGTAGAAATGTAGAAAAAAGAGTACCTAACGTTTATTGTAGTATGTAGGTATATACCCAGTTTTATACCCAATTTATTCCATTGAAGACAACTTACTTGCATATCAATGAATAAACATTAATACATTCTAAAACCACCTCGCCGTGAACACACAAAGCCCACAAAATATTAATAAGTACCAATCTAATTTTCATATATTTCAATGCCCACACTCACACTGTGGCGGGTGCATTTTGGGGGTCTACGGGGGCGTGGCGCACCCTTTCCAGCCCGTCACACCCCGTCAGGTCGTTGACCTCACAGCTGACGCGACGCCGCTGAATGGCAGCATAGTACGAGGCACTACACTCGGTAGTACTATAGTACGATCATTGAACTATAATGATGCTTTTGTCTAAACATGGCGGATAAAAAAAAGAACTTAATGAATAATGTACCTAAACAAATCTTAGAAGTCAAGTCAAGTTATAAGGAAGCCGCGTCGTATCGAAATGAAACTTTGTGTGTACAAGTAGTTTTGATGAATATAGCTTGGAGTGGATCCAGTCAGAAATTGAATGGTGGAACTCTTTACTGTTTAATAACCTCAAGAGAGAAAGAATTCAATTCACGATCAAAGCTTGTTTTTTTTTTTTATTATACTAAAGTATAAATACCTCAAGTTACGTTCGTTTTAAATATTAACCGATGCAAACTGATACTGACTGAGAAATAAAACTGTGGGTGGGTTCACGTCGGTAGTGTATTGGTCAGGATTTTTTTTTTGGTATACATAAGACAACTCCCGCATTAGGAATATATCCTGTGTCGCGGGGGACTTTACAAATATACATGAAACGGACACAGAGAACACCGAGACTCAGAAGAACAATTTGTGGATCATACAAAGTGTCGTCCCGTGTGGGACCCACAACACTTAGCGTAGTAGTGAGCGACGTGGCGACCGCTTAAACCACTACGCCATCCGCGCAGTCGAACCCACGGCCTCTTGATCGCAAGTCCAATGCTTTAACCACTAGGCTACCGCCGCTTATTATACTTGCGACGAGCTCATAATAATGAAAAAACAACACTAACACATTTTCGTATTTTTAACCGACGTCTCACATCGGTTCGGAGGAGGGTCTAAGTTCGACTGACTTCCTTTCTAGGGTATACCTGGTTCCCCGGCTATTAGTACCCGGCGACGGCGTGCGGTTTTAGTCGGTTCGAGTCCGACATGCCACCGACAGGTGGTATCCGAGGGGATTTCCGCACGGAAAAAAATTAACTAAGTCTAAGTTCGACTATATATGTTTTGTTTGTGACCTCAGAACTCCCTCATTTATGAATCTATTTGGAAGATGATTTATTTAATTGGGAATATTTACTCCCCGTTTAGTCCCATTCAAAAAATATACTGCACCTAAAGGTGAAAAATTATGGAACAACGGCAATTCGGCTGTTTGGTTGCTTCTACACTTCTTTATTCTTCTACGGTGCAAGTAGTGGGCCCACAGGTTGGTACCGCTAGACTAAAAACCAGTCAATATACAGGTTGTTGCAGAAATTCATTTTCAGATCTGATTTTGACAAATTGATCTTATATATATACCGTATATTCGAAATAAAAAGAGAACTGACATTAACAAAACTATAGATATTGATATCAAGAGCATTTATAGAATTGTTCGATATTTCAGAAAAAAAAACACAAAATCACTGACACCATTTACATGTTATTTAGAAATGTGCACCTATGCAAGTAGTATTTTCCGAAAAAAGTACTTTTTTCTAAATGCAATTTTTTTTTTAGTAGATTTAACTATTATATCAGTTTAGCAAATGGACTGCCGTAATTGATTTCCTGTCGGCTATTTTTAAGCTCCTAAAATTTGATCTCATATTTGTAACCTTCTGTATTATTGGTCACTTATATTACTTTATTTTCTTTTCCTCCTTGTTTTGCTTAAAGAAAACGAAAACGCCCGCAAAAGCTCCCACGACAAAGAATATCTTACCTATCATTGTCGCGGGGGCTTTCAGAAACATACATGAAACGGACACAAAGAACACCCAGTACTGAACTCTAGTTTATAATATATGTTCCTTATCAAAGGATACAATGGAAAAATTGATTCTGTAGGTAGTGTAGATGTAGCTATAGGCCCCTAAGACCACCCCCTGCCCCCTCGACACGATAGACAAGACAAGACACGAGAGACGTCTAAGAATAGATTCTTAGACGTCTCCAAGAAATATTAAACCTGCACTATTCAACCCCGTCTGGCTTTGCTTAGTTATCTATATATTATTGCATGAAGAGACTTCTTCGCACCCCTTGTTATATAAATATGGCGCACCGAAAATACCATATTTGGAAGACTTAGTGTTTACATGCGGAAAGCTAAAACTTTTAAACAGTATAATCTTTATTATATATATAAGTGTTGTTGGTTTGTGTATGTTTCAAAAACTCAAAAAGTTCAAAACTCAAACCGTTTCAAGGACTGTTTTGCTTTAAAAATGAATAATGTGTAAAAACGGCTTTAGTAAGTTACCGTATAGGTATAGGGCTCCGTATATATTTTGACCTATCATAGTTTAAAAGTGTATATACAATGACAGCTCAAGTTTTATTGGTTATTCACCAAGCAAGACATACAAAACATTCAATTTTTTTATAAATCAATTGTCACGTGTATGTCGAAACATTACCTCAGAACGGCTCAACCCATTCGTCTGTTGTTCATTGTTTACGTGTTTCGTTTTGTTAAAAGGTTTATAGGAATTTTTTTTTTTTGAAAGTGAAAGGAAAAATCAGTATATATATATATATATAATAATACAGTACACTGACCTGTTGGTTTAGTGGTTTAGTAGGGTTCAATTCGCACCCAGGACAAATAATTGTGTGATGAGCACGGTCATTTGTTCTGTGTCTGGGTGTACTTTATCTATAATATGTATGTATTTACAAATATATAAGTATGTTTATCAGCAGTCTGGTTACCATAGTACAGGCTCTGCCTAGTTTGGGACCAGACGGCCGTGTGTGAGATGTGTGTAAATATTATTATTATTATATTTTAAGTACAAAACCAACGAGCGCGCCTTAAAGTATTCGCATACGATTTAACATCTTACATCTCACTGTATGACTGTAAACTTTAGTAAAGTGCACGCTCCCGGCGTCCCGTTACACACTCCCGTCCCTTATCACGAAATCACTCCTATATATGGTAGGAAAGCGAGACAAAAGATGTTGCACATAAAAAAACAATTTGTTTTTGGCAGGGCTATTGTATCGTTTTTTTTTTGATGATATAATTTAAACTATAATTTGGTTATTAAACAATAATTAATATATATTTGTGTTTACAAACCAGTCTGGAGTAATTTACATTACCAATCTATTAGAACTTTAACATATGAACGTCCTGTAACTAACATAGTCAAGCAACTGCCTGAAACACAGGTCTCACACCTAGCTCAGGCCGTTTGCAAAAGAATTTTTTAATATTTTGTTTTTACCACTTTATATTTAATCTTACACATTTTAGAATATTCATCTAGTGTTATGTTAGCTTTAGTAACAAACTTTATATAAGAATCTAATGACAATAAGATGTAAATCATATACAAAATGTAACCAAGACTATTCTGATTCTGCAAATACATTTTATTTTATTATTTTTATTTTATCACATACTCGTTTAAACAGCAATCTGCTTCACAGACGTTCATAGCGCAAGACGGTAAATTAAAATTTAAAAAAAAGATTCCATTCTAATGGAAAAAGTTTTTACAAAAGCAAGCAGCAGGAAAATGCTTTTGTTTCTTCTTCTTTTCTTTATTCTTTTCAGTTTCTGATACACTTCCTCTCATGCTTTTAAACATTTACCAAAAGGTAGACTAGAAAAGAATGTACATGTGTATGCGTACAAATTATGCATACAGTTTTAAAATAAACATTTCAGATGCATTAGAAGGATTTTCATATCAAGTAAAGAACTAAGAAAAAATAATTTAAAATTGATCTATCCGTTAAAGAGAAACGATGCCACAGACAGACACACTGGTACACACATTATACTTGTAACACTAATTTTCTAAATCATCGGAGACTAAAAACATATATTTGACCAACTTACCTTGCTGAAGTATCCGACAACGTGGCATCCCTCATGATCAGCACTCGTCATAACGTAGAAGAGGAACGGCTCCACATCGTAGTACAACGTTTTGTGGTCTAAGAAGAACTTGGCTAAGAGACAGAGCTGCTGGCAATACTGTTTGTGCTTCCGTCCATCCACTTGCCACACAGAAAGATTGTCTTTCCTGTATACCTGAGGGAGATATAAAATTGTTTACTCAATATGGCTGGCGGACTGCTATTCCAAAGGTCGCGGGTTCGATTCCCACTCAAGTCAAACATTTGTGTGCATGATCATTTAATGTTTGATTTGGTCTGGGTGTTTCTATGTATAAAAAGTATGTATTTACAAAAAAAAAGTATTTTTGTATTTATATCAGTTGTCTAGTAGCCATAGTACAAGCTCTGCTTAGTTTGGGACTAGATGACGTTGTGTGAATGTGGTACAATATTATTAATATATTATATGGTCTAGATGTTAAACAGAAAACTATTTTGTGTCTAGAGAATTCAGGAGCTTTCAGTCTTTGTAAGGGAGCAAACGAGCAGACGACCCTGGACACATGCAACTTCAGATCTACAAGTGCGTTGTTGCTTGAGTCTTCTCCCCCTAGAATCAGAGACAGGGACCTCGCTCTCTCGGTGAAAAACAACCAAAGAACTGCTGAACATCGGTTTTCTGTGAGTGCGCGGTATCACGCTGACCGAGCCTAGCCAATGTGTGCCGAACCTCTCCCACTATGATATTTTCACAATTTTAGATTCCCAAGATGCCTGGTCGAAAATTATATTTAGCATCATTGTCTACTAAATGCCGTTGGAGAGCTGCAGGAGAGCCTTAGAAAGGAGATTTTGGCCTACTACACCGCGTTGGCCAGACAGATTGGTATAGGGTTTGTTTTAAGTGTTCCTTTTCTTCGCAGTGCTCTTGTCCTGTAGCTGGCTCTTACGAAACCTAGGAATAAATAGGGGTAGTGGCATTCTGTATTCTTAATCCGTCACCACATGAATAGAGTTGGGAAAGTATATTTAGCAAAACGTGGATATTTACATGTCTCTTACTTCAGGAATACACACACGCACGTACATTTTCACTCACTTTTTAAGGTTATAATCTTAAGTTTTATCATTATATATGTGGTATAGTAGGCCGACACCTTCTAGGAAAAGCCTATGTCCAGCAGTGAACTGCTAAAGGCTGATGATGATGGTTTTGGATATGAACTTTGCTGCGGCATATATGGGCCAGGCTCGACCAGAGTGGTACCAAGGCCTCACCAATTTGGGTTCTTAACCTCACCCCTCCCCTGATTTAAGGGGGGGGGGGAGAGGGAGGAACTTGAAAGGCGGCAACGCACCGTGACTTTCTTCGTTGCACTGTCACCATCAGGTGAGGCCCCGCCGTATATAAGGTGAGGGTGAGCGTACCTCGTCCCCGGGCGGGTGCCTCCAGACGCACTTGGCCTTGTGCCGCTGCGCGCCGGTGGCGGACTTGTGGTGGTTGAGGCAGAACTCGCACACGAACAGCCGCGGCACGCGCGCCGCGTCGCCCGGGTACGGCGACTGGTACCACACCTCCATCATGTATTTACCCATCACCACGTATCTGGGAATGAAAGGAATCACGTCATTGTTACGGTAACATTACGTTTCGTGCTTCAACTATATCGACGTCTCGGAAGTCAAATTTAATATTGATTAAAATTGTGACACGATGCCACAGCGAAGCATGCTTCGCAAAATAGATAAAAACCATGTCTAAATCGTGTCAAAATTTGAGCTTAAATGGTGCAGAACTTTTTGAGTTTTTAAAACGTACACAAACCAACTTAACATTTTTATATCGTACCATATAGATGGGGTAGATTCCTAGGTTTAAATTTGTCACTAAATGTAACATCTTATGGTACAGCTTGAGTTGTCATCCATTATCGATTTAATATTATCATCGCTTTTACTTCATCAAATCAACATGACATATCAAAAACGGCGTGTTGAGTCTATGGACCCCCGGTCACGAACGAAGTCCCGCAAGATGTGTCGGAAAAAGTCTTGTTAAACAATTTCGGTCTCGCTCCGAGCGTTTAGGGCGCGATAAGGCACTTCGCTCCAATATTTTTAACAATAGCAAATTATGATGACTATTCATTATTTAAAAATATGAGCTCAACAAGGGTTTATCGATTTACATTGAGGGTTTACCTTATATGCGCAATAACTTAGCAAAATATAATCAGGACTAAAACAGAATGTGTGGAAAAAATGTCTTACCTTGTACCCCTATCAGTAGGTATATCAGATAACTCTTCTTCTATTTTAATAGCAGCTAATGCTTGCGCTTCCCGGAACAATTTCAGATCATAATCTGGCGCGAATCCTTCTAGAATTGGTTCTCTATCTTCGTTTATTTCTTCGTTGCCTGAAGCTGCCAGTTTCTCTCGTAGTTCTTGGCTGCCTTTCCATTTCGATCGCATATCCTAAAGGAGATATCATAAATTACACGGAGAACTTGACTTAATTTTATTTGAAAATTTTCTAAATTATTTTCCTGCTTTGTTTAGATGACGCAGGATGAAGGCAAAATAATATAGAAATGAACGGGGAGCTAGAGCTACGGTGCATTTTTCTTTCTTATACCGCAAATCTTTGATGGAAAAGCGGGATCGAAGCAGAAGCTCGAAGAGGCTGAGTTTACGTCCATGTAGACCCATTAGTCCTGTGATTAGAGACACAAATATGGCCGGGCCATCAATTGGTAGTTTTTTGGTGGCGACGGACGGCAATAGGCAGTTTATTTTATATTTTTAAGACCATTTATATACATTATGGGACGGAATTAATGATTGAGTATTAAGAATGAGAAAATATAATAGCTCACTTTGAGCTGGTAGGCGCGCTGCTCGATGGTGGGCTGGTGGCGCGGGCGCGCCTGCTTACCTTCACTTTGAGCTGGTAGGCGCGCTGCTCGATGGTGGGCTGGTGGCGCGGGCGCGCCTGCTTACCTTCACTTTGAGCTGGTAGGCGCGCTGCTCGATGGTGGGCTGGTGGCGCGGGCGCGCCTGCTTACCTTCACTTTGAGCTGGTAGGCGCGCTGCTCGATGGTGGGCTGGTGGCGCGGGCGCGCCTGCTTACCTTCACTTTGAGCTGGTAGGCGCGCTGCTCGATGGTGGGCTGGTGGCGCGGGCGCGCCTGCTTACCTTCACTTTGAGCTGGTAGGCGCGCTGCTCGATGGTGGGCTGGTGGCGCGGGCGCGCCTGCTTACCTTCATTTTGAGCTGGTAGGCGCGCTGCTCGATGGTGGGCTGGTGGCGCGGGCGCGCCTGCTTACCTTCACTTTGAGCTGGTAGGCGCGCTGCTCGATGGTGGGCTGGTGGCGCGGGCGCGCCTGCTTACCTTCACTTTGAGCTGGTAGGCGCGCTGCTCGATGGTGGGCTGGTGGCGCGGGCGCGCCTGCTTACCTTCACTTTGAGCTGGTAGGCGCGCTGCTCGATGGTGGGCTGGTGGCGCGGGCGCGCCTGCTTACCTTCACTTTGAGCTGGTAGGCGCGCTGCTCGATGGTGGGCTGGTGGCGCGGGCGCTCCTGCTTACCTTCACTTTGAGCTGGTAGGCGCGCTGCTCGATGGTGGGCTGGTGGCGCGGGCGCGCCTGCTTACCTTCACTTTGAGCTGGTAGGCGCGCTGCTCGATGGTGGGCTGGTGGCGCGGGCGCGCCTGCTTACCTTCACTTTGAGCTGGTAGGCGCGCTGCTCGATGGTGGGCTGGTGGCGCGGGCGCGCCTGCTTACCTTCACTTTGAGCTGGTAGGCGCGCTGCTCGATGGTGGGCTGGTGGCGCGGGCGCGCCTGCTTACCTTCACTTTGAGCTGGTAGGCGCGCTGCTCGATGGTGGGCTGGTGGCGCGGGCGCGCCTGCTTACCTTCACTTTGAGCTAGTAGGCGCGCTGCTCGATGGTGGGCTGGTGGCGCGGGCGCGCCTGCTTACCTTCACTTTGAGCTGGTAGGCGCGCTGCTCGATGGTGGGCTGGTGGCGCGGGCGCGCCTGCTTACCTTCACTTTGAGCTGGTAGGCGCGCTGCTCGATGGTGGGCTGGTGGCGCGGGCGCGCCTGCTTACCTTCACTTTGAGCTGGTAGGCGCGCTGCTCGATGGTGGGCTGGTGGCGCGGGCGCGCCTGCTTACCTTCACTTTGAGCTGGTAGGCGCGCTGCTCGATGGTGGGCTGGTGGCGCGGGCGCGCCTGCTTACCTTCACTTTGAGCTGGTAGGCGCGCTGCTCGATGGTGGGCTGGTGGCGCGGGCGCGCCTGCTTACCTTCACTTTGAGCTGGTAGGCGCGCTGCTCGATGGTGGGCTGGTGGCGCGGGCGCGCCTGCTTACCTTCACTTTGAGCTGGTAGGCGCGCTGCTCGATGGTGGGCTGGTGGCGCGGGCGCGCCTGCTTACCTTCACTTTGAGCTGGTAGGCGCGCTGCTCGATGGTGGGCTGGTGGCGCGGGCGCGCCTGCTTACCTTCACTTTGAGCTGGTAGGCGCGCTGCTCGATGGTGGGCTGGTGGCGCGGGCGCGCCTGCTTACCTTCACTTTGAGCTGGTAGGCGCGCTGCTCGATGGTGGGCTGGTGGCGCGGGCGCGCCTGCTTACCTTCACTTTGAGCTATTAGGCGCGCTGCTCGATGGTGGGCTGGTGGCGCGGGCGCGCCTGCTTACCTTCACTTTGAGCTGGTAGGCGCGCTGCTCGATGGTGGGCTGGTGGCGCGGGCGCGCCTGCTTACCTTCACTTTGAGCTGGTAGGCGCGCTGCTCGATGGTGGGCTGGTGGCGCGGGCGCGCCTGCTTACCTTCACTTTGAGCTGGTAGGCGCGCTGCTCGATGGTGGGCTGGTGGCGCGGGCGCGCCTGCTTACCTTCACTTTGAGCTGGTAGGCGCGCTGCTCGATGGTGGGCTGGTGGCGCGGGCGCGCCTGCTTACCTTCACTTTGAGCTGGTAGGCGCGCTGCTCGATGGTGGGCTGGTGGCGCGGGCGCGCCTGCTTACCTTCACTTTGAGCTGGTAGGCGCGCTGCTCGATGGTGGGCTGGTGGCGCGGGCGCGCCTGCTTACCTTCACTTTGAGCTGGTAGGCGCGCTGCTCGATGGTGGGCTGGTGGCGCGGGCGCGCCTGCTTACCTTCACTTTGAGCTGGTAGGCGCGCTGCTCGATGGTGGGCGGGTGGCGCGGGCGCGCCTGCTTACCTTCACTTTGAGCTGGTAGGCGCGCTGCTCGATGGTGGGCTGGTGGCGCGGGCGCGCCTGCTTACCTTCACTTTGAGCTAGTAGGCGCGCTGCTCGATGGTGGGCTGGTGGCGCGGGCGCGCCTGCTTACCTTCACTTTGAGCTGGTAGGCGCGCTGCTCGATGGTGGGCTGGTGGCGCGGGCGCGCCTGCTTACCTTCACTTTGAGCTGGTAGGCGCGCTGCTCGATGGTGGGCTGGTGGCGCGGGCGCGCCTGCTTACCTTCACTTTGAGCTGGTAGGCGCGCTGCTCGATGGTGGGCTGGTGGCGCGGGCGCGCCTGCTTACCTTCACTTTGAGCTGGTAGGCGCGCTGCTCGATGGTGGGCTGGTGGCGCGGGCGCGCCTGCAGCAGACGCAGAGCCTTGCGGCGCGCCTCGCTGGCGGCGGCGCGCTCCTCGCTGGCCGCCACGCACGACAGCGCCGTCACGTTGTGGTACAGCGGGCACGCGTCCCACGTCACGTGCCGGGACGACGTGCCACCTGCAATTCAAGTATATCACCTTAGATCGCCCATACCAGTTAGACTTGGATAAAAACAAGGATATAGAGAATTTTCTTAAAGGACAAAATTCGTAATGAGGTCAACCGACAAGTAATTAACTACTGAAGAGGAAATCCGAAAACGGAAAGAAGGGACGGACTGAAGACTTGAAGAAGGTAGCTGTTAGGGACTGGCAGCGAAAAGCGGAGGTTATGTCCAACAACAGACTAATATAGAGTAATTGAAAGTGGAACGAAATGATAATAACAAAATAATATAATCGTGGAACATTAATAAGTAAACAGGTGTCCCTCAGAGAGACTATTTTCGTTCATTTCCATCAAGTAAATTTGAAGACGAAATGTTTCAAGCAAAAAAAATTGTAATCAGTTTTTAAACTGATTTTCTAAACTCTGTTAAGTTATTTTTTTTTTCTTTACCAAATGGCTAAAAGCCTCTGGCACCACGCTTGGTGCTAAAACGCTGAAAATATTTTTCACGAGTGGAAATCATTGCAAATCATTGAAAAAGCAAATAAAGATGTACAGAATAATAGTTATTGCAAAGTATTACTCTTTTCCTTTTTAATTATATAATCTTAACCTTCTAGCCTAAAGGGCCTGCTCTATCTGTAATAATATTAAATAACAATGAGTAATTACCCAGATGTCCCGAAGAGTCGCAGCCTCTCACAGGGCACCTGCGCTGCGCGGGCTCTGATAGCGTGGGCGCGGCCACGGGTGACCAGGAGGGGGGCGCGCGCCCCTTAATATTCTTCTTCGAGTCTTTGATGCTACTGTAAAATATTTTCTTCAATTTTCTTGGAGAAAATGAAGTTACGAGGAAAATGAGACATTTTTCTACTGTTTAAACATTTTTGTTAGTTGGTTAATCATCCACCTTTTTGAAAAATAGTTCTTTATTTAGTAATGTAAGTTGTCATTTAATAAATCTAATGTGTAGGTAACATACAAAAATTGAATTACATGTGCGTACGTTACTAAATCGCGCAAGTGAAATTTTCAGAATGATGACATAATCACCGGACTGTATTTAAATTATCTTTCTGTTTTAAACCAACTTAAACTAAAGAAAGGAGTACTCAATTCAGTTGTATTTTTTTATGTTTGTAAACTGAGAACTCCGTCAACAAATATTTGGGGGTGGGGGTATACTTCCCGTTTGGTCCCATTCATATTTGAAGAAAAAGTACTACCTTTACAGTTTATCATGATGTTAGCGCATTCAAGTCGGTAATCCTTTTCTAAAGTTAATTATTTTTATATGTTAATATCTTCCTTCCTTGATGAAAGTATAGTGACAAATAATAAACATAATTCCTGTATAAGAGTAGATTTGAATTTCTTAATCCTCGGCGATGTGACAAATATTTTGGTTAAATTTTAGTAGTATTTTTAGATTTATAAAATGAGCAAATCGAATGTTTTAATTATTATTATTTAACAAAAATGTTAAAATAGAAATAGCTCCCATTACCATAGGTTCTTATATCTTAACATGCACATTTTATAACTAATACTTAAGGAATTGACGAAGGATTGCAAGGGCGGCAACACACGTGTGACTTTTGAGTTGCAGGTGCCCATGGGCGGCGGTAGTTGCTTACCATCAGGTGACCCGTCTGCTCGTATGCCCCCTTAGACCATTTAAAATAAGTAATACATTGAGGATTTTCTTTCTTTCTTACATTGTAATACTGTTGAGTTTCAGGCGTTATATTATTCCAACACACTTGAGTATCCTCGGACCAGACGAGGTGATCATGCCTGGTACACCACGGCCCAATGATTTAAAAAATTCTTTCACCAATGGAAAGCTACATTATCAGAAGCTACTTAGGCATAGGCTACTTTTTATCACGATAACCGACATACACGCGGGCGGAGTACCACGCTGGCCAGACAGTTTGATATAGGGTGTGTGTCAAGTTTTCCTTCCTTCTCTTTAAAGTTCTGTTGCTCTCTTAGTCGGCTCTTACGACTCCCACAGAATGAATAGGGGTGAACACATGACAACAGCAATGCAAAGAGAAGTGTGTATGTGCAACTCGTCTGGCCAGCGTGGTATATTATGCCAAAAACTGCTTTCCAATACCTGCAATTTCTTATTCGTTTTCATAGTATCACTCCAGTTGATCCTGCCCACTTGTGTCAAACTGTGGCTCTTCCTCAGTTGAATATATTTTTGAGTACTTATAAGCATACATATTACACATATGAGAAATAACTTTAAATTGTCGGACGTTTCGAACAGGGCCTCAATTCTGCTATTTTATGTAAACATACAAGTCACTGTCATTCCATTGACATGCTATTAAGTAGCCATTGACATTGGTCAAAATTTCAGTATTCTATTAACATCAATTCACTGTATCAATAGACTATTGATGTAGTTGACAATGGTGATATCAACAACATTGACATTTCTGGAAAATTGAATATTTCATTTTATTTACAAATTTAAAATGTTCCATTTACCAAAATATTACAGACATCGACGACATTTAAATTAGTAGCAATTTAGTGATAAGTCATCAGGGGCCATTGGTCTTTCGGGCACGCCGTCATCGCGGCGGTAAGACCCATTATGGAGGATTGGCTCGAGAGGCGTCACGGGACCCTCTCATACCGACTGACGCAGGTGATCACTGGGAAAGGATGTTTCGGGGATCACCTGTGTCTGATCCGCAAGGAGCCAACGCCTGAGTGCCACCACTGCGATGGCCAGACCGTGGACACGGCTCTCCACACGCTGGCAGAGTGCCCGGCGTGGGCTGAGCAGAGGCGAGACCTCGTGGCGGCCATCACAGTGGGAGTTCTCTCGCTCGATAGCCTGATTGCGGCTATCGTGCGGGGCGAGAGTGCGTGGAACTCTGCCGTCTCCTTCTGCGAGCAAGTTATGCTCGCGAAGGAGACGGCGGAGCGGGACCGGGAGAGGTTTAGGACTCTCCCGGCCCGCCAGGCCCGGGAACGGGCCAGGTACCGCAGGCGACTCAGGCGCCGGAGGTCGCAGAACGACCTCCGTCCTCCATAAGCGCAGGCCTGGGGAGACAGTGAGGCCATCTGTCACCCTAGCAGAAGCAGGCCGGGGTGGCGGCGAGCGCTCGCTTCCAGGGAGCACAGGGAACATAGGGTTCCCACGGGGGGGGGGGGGGGGGGTCGTCTACTCGTCTTTAGATGACCCGAGGTATGTCTAGGGTATACCTGGTTCCCCGGCTATTAGTACCGAGACGGCGTGCGGTTTTAGTCGGTTCGAGTCCGACATGCCACCGACATGGTATCCGAGGGGATTTCCGCACGGAAAAAAAAGAAAAAAAAAAGCCATTGGTCTCACTTAGTACAATACGAAAAGTACAAAACTATCTCGACACTACTCCATCGAGAGTTTATTATTGAATTGGTAAAATAGCAGAATTGAGACCCTGATTGTACCAGCCATTCTTTCAAGAAATTTTTAATATTACATGATTCTGTTTTACCGTATGTATACGTAATTATATAACATAAAACGCGAAACTTTACTTAGAAATAATAATAATAATATTTACTTACTTCTTATTGTCATTGTTTTTCTCATCAACTTCTGAATCAGTGTCAGTATTTGTGGGTCGGGAAACAGTTGCTAACCTAGACACTCTGGCTGAGAGTGACCTGGTTAATTTCCTGGGCATGGTCGCCACTGCTGAGTCACAGGAGTCACCACTTTTAGTTGCAGAATTCTCCTGCTGTAATTTAAAGAAAGAAGATAAGGAACCAGTGTATGCTTCAACTTAAGGTAATTCACCTTCACCTCATGTGATTAGATTGATAATCTGATCATTACAATTCCATAAATCTTAATGTATAAAACAAGATTCCCGCTCAAGTCAAACATTTGTGTGCATGAACATTTAATGTTTGATTTGGTCTGGGAGTTTCTATGTATATATTTTTATATGTATTTATTTACAAAAAAAAAAATGTATTTATATCAGTTATCTAGTACCCTTAGTACAAGCTCTGCTTAGTTTGGGACTAGTTGGCGTTGTGTGAATGTTGTAAAAAAAAAAAAGTTGGATTAGTTACACCATTTATAATTCAAGAATGACTAGATAGATTTTTATGAGATTTGATTTGTTGGCAAAACAGGGCAGCAAACAGATGAAGGGTGAAGCTGTAACTAAAATGCAGGTGAAACTGTGTGGGAACTGTTAGTATGTACATAAAATCTCTTATCAATCAAGACCATTATCTAATAGGAAACTTGGTGATGGTGATAGGGCAAAACTCAAGGAAGCCTTATTGCCACTATAAAAAGGCAACAGTATGGTATTTAAAGTGTAAGGAAACATACAATACTTGTATAGTACTTAAGGCTGCCAAATACGGATTATATCTGAGAATACTCAACATAAATTACCGGGGGCAATTAGGCATGCTAAATCACTGCAAATATATGAAAAACTAGTCACAAATCATTACTTGACATTATAGAGGAATTTGTGTATTAATGGATCTCTGTCTGTATGTATTTATATTTGTTATATGTATTTAAGTGTATTAGTTGCATTTATATTGTAAAAGTATATAGTAACATTATATTTTTTATTCTTTTTTTTTCATACCGAAATATACACGGTGATTTTTTAGGCGTTTTGGAAACGAAACATTTGAATTTGGAATCATCTATAGTACCAATAAAAATGATTAAATCAATTGTAATGTTGTCTAAAAAAAAGTTTCAGTTTTAATATTTATTTTTACTCGATCGACTTGGAAAGTAGTAGTGGACTGATCATTCATTCATTATCTTATGTGAATGAAACACATCCGTGGGCGTTTCGGCGGCCGCTGCGCACCGCTGACGCTAACAGCAGCTGATAAAAGTATACCTATAGGCGCGAGCTAGCGAGTACTTACGTAGATAGACTCCAATTTGTCCTTCATACTTTACACGGGCTTAGGATCGTCAGAAATACCTATTTTATTTAAACTTCTTTTCGATTATTAACCACGATTGTTCTTTTCACAACAAATCAATTTATCAACGGACTGTAGGTATAAATATTTCAAGCGTATTTAAAAAATCGGAGCTATCTACAGACTAATTAACTTACATACCTATTTACACTATTTACACTTCTCTGTATCGAAGCAACTGCTCAAAATGGAGTCCGCTGCATTCAATACACAAACGTCCACGTTTAATGCAATTGTTTTTTAATTTTCTTAATGTGTCTCTATCACTTTTCACTTTATCAAAAGCGTCCACTATCGCAATGCGTAAATTATCACGGCTTTCATATTCCCATGTATAAACAAATATTTTTATTTCCGACCATAAGAAAAAATCCAGGGGCGTTAAGTCCGGGTTTCTAGGTAGCCAAGGCACTGGCCCTCCTCGACCTATCCACCGATCACTAAACTCATTGTCCAGGTATGCACGCACTACACTCCGGCGAATAATAATTTAAACGTCCTTGACCTTGCGCGTGAGCGCGCGACCTTTATGTGACTCGATATTAAAACGCATAATATGTATTTCTATTCGTAGTATTTACCTACGTGTGATTGAATAGCCTACTACTACTGGTTCTCACTTTTTCTCTGTAAACGATATGAATATCGACTTTGATGATAAAAAATATATATATTTTATTAAATTAACGTTATATATAGCTTCTGTTACTGATAAATAACTCAAAATTTTCTTTTCCAAAACGCTTTCAAAATCACCGTGTATATAATATCTGTATAAAAAATATTGCAGTGGTATACAATAAAGAAATAAATAAATATATTAGAAAACCTGCTACAACAATATACCTTGTTATGGAATATATATTGAACAAGAAACAAGCTACATTTGTATGAAAATCACAAAAATATTCAATGCAATAAATGAAATCATCATTGCATTTCATTTCCATACATTTTTGAACCAAAGTGCTTGTGTGGGCTCAGGCTGTGTTAATGCACTTTATAGCAATAGTTTTAAAGTTTATATCCAAATGTCTTAAAAAAATACTGTCTGCTGTGCTCCTCTTGGTATGCGTGCCCTTACTTGAAACAGGATTCAGGATTCTACCCATGTCTTGTGATTATAGAGGTCACTAGGATGGGAACATCCACTGGCCACTGGTCTTGTATGATTTTTTTTAAAAACAATACATTTTTAAGTTTAAAATACATAAACCTAAACAAACCTTTGGAGTAAGAGATTCAGAAGCAGATGATTTTGATTTCCCACTTTTCACAGATTCCTTTTTAGGAGTGGGCTCACTATCACTGTCTGAGGAGAGAGACTCAATAGAAGACTGGCTGGAAGAACATGATGATGCACTCTTTTCTTCTATAGTTTTCTTTGGCGGAGGTCCATTAGGCCTGTTTCCATTCTTACGCTTAGCATTGTCTTTTGAGTCCTTTGAATCTTTTGAGTCCTTTGAGTCTTTTGAGTCCTTTGAATCTTTTGAGTCTTTTGAATCTTTTGAGCCTTTTGAGTCTTTTGAATCTTTTGAGTCTTTTGAATCTTTTGAGTCTTTTGAGCCTTTGGAGTCCTTTGAGTCTTTGGAGTCCTTTGAATCTTTGGAGTCCTTTGAATCTTTAGAAAACTTGGAATCTTTCGAATCTTCATCATTATCGGCAGTTATAGGGGAAATGTCTTTTTCATCACTAGATTTTCTAGATCCTCTTTTAGGTCTAGGTGATGTCTTTGGACTCTTGTTATTGGCACTATTGGCACTTGAAGACTTACTCTCTGATTCAGATTCAGAGCTATTATCTGGGGAGAATATACTCTTCTTCTTTAAAGTTCCCGTATCTGTTTTAGGACTCAGTTTTGAAATAGTTTTCAGTACTGGTTTAGGAGTTTTTGCACCTGCAGATACCTTATTTGCAGTTCTTCCTCTAGCAAGTACCGCAGCAGCAGATTTAGGTTTAGCAGAACAACGTCTTCTAGGTGCCATTGACTTTGGACTGGCAGCTTTAGGAGCTTCATCATCACTGGATGATGAAACTTTGACTTTTGATGGTCTTCTAGGTTTTGGCTCATCTTTCTTTTTGACTTCCTCAGGTTTTGAGGGAGATTTAGGTGCAGGCGTTGCTACTGCAGTTACTGGAGGTTCGGAAGTTGAGGATTCAGAGTCTGAACTGCTAGAACCAGACCCTGAACTTGTGGAAGAACTGCCACTACTACTGGAATCTGATGTAGACCCAGAACTGCTATCAGTGCTACTGTTACTAACCTGAAATTGCAGACATTCAAAAAGTGAATGAAAAAAAGGTTTACTTTTTAAAGACCTATTCCTATTAAGACGGATTCAATGGACTCACAGTGCGGGTACCCGGTCCAGGAATAGGTTTAGGGAGTCTGTTATGTTACCTCTTCTACCTAATCATATTCCTGGAATAAGTTTAGGGAGTATGTTATGTTACCCCCTCTACCTGATCACATTTGATATAATGATATAAGTTTAATAGATATGACAAAAAGGTACTATCTAATTTAGGCAGAATTTACTTATCGGTAAATCTGCTATAGGGCTCCTATGTAGGTCTAAAGCACAGAATGGCATATTCTCCTAAGAGTAAATAAACATTTTGGAAACATAACGTTTTATTACTAAGAAGAGAATAAATGGAAAATTAACACCAATAGTATTTAGTTACATATTGTTTGTTATCATTTATGAAAAACATACGACAGAATACTTTAACTTTCTAAGTGTAATTGAATACTTACATCGAGATTTGTCATTTTGTTGTTTAGTATTTACAAGTAGATCCAAATTACAATTAATACTAAGAATTAAACTACTTATTTAATGCTAATAATCTGATTTGTAGCAACCAATGTTTATTAAATAAATCTCGAAAATATGAAGTAAATGAACTATTAACTAATCGAAAGTTTTGACAACTTCAATAAACGTCATTACACAACAGTGTTGCCGTTTGAGAAATTAACGCACTTCGGAATCACTGGCATCTAATCAGCGATACTTTATTTATGAAACGAGCAGACGGGTTACCTGAATAATAGTTGACCATAAAAACCTTTTAAATATTGCGAACAGTGGTATTAGAAACCAAAAGATATTTTTAATTTAAAAGATATTTTAATAATATATTTTGTAGTATAACAATCTTTTTTTGATATTTACGTTGACTATTTATTTTTAAAATATATCAAACTGTGTTATTCTAAAGTCAATGTTTAATGCAATATTTATTTGGTTTTAAATTCGTCCTAATAATATAATATCCTTCCTTTCATTTAAATTTAGATATAAAAATCTCTATAAAACTTTAATCTAGAATATTCATCGAAAATAGATCTAACTAGAATATTCATAATAATGAAGTAATTTGTATATATCAGAACAAAAGTGATAACATAATAATATATATATATTAATTTTGTATCATTACGTTTTAAATAAGTACCTACATATTTTTCAGGATACTTAATATAACGATAACTTTATTTTACTAACGTTAATTTCGGATAGTGGCACCTCACTATTAAACATTTGCGAAAAAGTAGCATCCCACGTAATGACAGTTTACTAGGTTTTGTCCATAGAATATAAGCTTACCTACTAAGCCCTTTCCAATCAGGGTTTAGGTCCGAGCATAGCACAACTTTTGCTCTGCTAAAAGTGACTGCTGGAATTGAAAAATCCAAAGTAATAGTGTTGGCTTTGATTGACTTCACAAATGCATTCAGCTCCGTCAGTCACGATATAATTCTGTCTATCCTGTACCATCTCATGATTTCACCTGATACACTGGACTGGTTCTCGTCTTATCTTCAGGGGCGGACTTCTCAAGTGAGCGCCTTCTGAATAACTGCATCCCAGAGAACACCTTTTAGTAAAATTTACGTCAGGATGACTTCATGTTGTGTCATGAGTTACGTAAGATTACGTCACATATGAGTCATAATATATGACTCAGTATTTCATACCTCTTGACGTAAAACTTTTACGTTAAACATATGACGTAAATATGACACTAGGGCACACCATGCGTAACTAATTTAAAAGTGCTTTGAGTATCTTTAATTTTAACTATTTGTCTACGATTACTCGAATGACATGGCTTACAATTTTATTATTTTTATTTTGTGCGTAATACCAACAGCACAAATAACGTAAGGTAAAATATTATAATAAAGTAACAACGAAGCTATTCACAGGTATTCGCAAATAGAAATAGCAATACCGATTACGTAATAGTGGGGACTTTTTTCTTACATACGAATATGATGGCATTAATTTAAAATTTTTATGTCAGGAACCTGACTTGTACCTTATGCAATCATAGGACTTAGCAATTACATAAATAATACCTACAATTATGACTCCAAAATGACGTCATATCATGAGAAAATATGATATAGTATGAACGAGACAGTTAAGTCATACAAATTACATCATATCAATGTCAAGTTTGATGTCGATATGAGGTCATAGTGACGCCATACAAAATGATCTCAGTGAAAGTAATCAAACATAGTCACTATTATGTCATACTTACGAAAAAAAAAAATGGCCCTCTGTGTGACTTATTTACGACATCATATTAAAGTCATGTGTTCACTGTGATTCAATTCGTTTTCACCCTTCGCAAATATGATCATGTTTTTTCCTTTCTTCGAATCGAACTGGCTTAGTATTCGTTAGGGCCGTTAGCTACGCGCCCTTACCACCCTTTATTCTAATTCTAATGTCAACTCGCTAATTTCCCCCACCTAGTTGACATCTTCATTCCAATATCTGTGTTCCAAGCACAATAGAACCCTTCGTTCATCAAACAATCCTCTTCTGCTATGCCCCACTCATACATCTGCTTGTGTCCACTCCTCATTCTAATTCCAATCCATGCTCCTCTGGAACGCTCTCCTTCTGGAAATCAAGCCTTAACGGAATGTGTGATACCGTGGTGAAGGAAGACATTGCTTCTAGGACGCTTTTCGCTAACTTTTCCTAAGACTCTGGCCAAGAAAGTGATGACATACCAATCTGCAGTCACTGTCCTTCGATTTACAAGCGATACTGTAGTGTAATGTACTGACTTGGCAAAAAAAGAAGCAACCATGTTTTTACCAATGCTTTGACTTTTCTTAACTTTCGTCGTCTAATCTTCAAAAGAAGGACCCACTCTGCCGACTGGCTTTTTTTCGGGTTCAAGGCACTACACCCAGGTTTCGTCACCTATCACGATATTATATACAGCCAATGACTGTCCTACGTTATTTTTTTATCATTTTACAGCACCATTGGACACGCAGTCGTTTCTGGTCCTCCGTTAAGTCATGCGGTATCTATCGAGTGCAAAGCTTCCGAATCTTCAGATACACATGTAAAATGTTTTGCACTTGGCTCATTCCAATGCCTAACACAGCACGAATTTGCTGGGAAGTATTTTTTTTTGTCAGTTATAATAAGTTGTCGTATGGTGTCAACAGTAGTCTGTAATAGCAGTCGCCGGCCGACCTTCACGTACCTCGTCATGGAGATGATCACGTCCACGTCTAAATTCTCCAAACAGTAAAATAAGCTTAGAGTGAACAAGAGCCCCAATCTTGCAATATAGGCAACGAGAGAAACGGATAGTAGATAGATGAAACTATCTCTTTCTAGTCGAGCTGTGTGGCTGGCTGGGAAATATAAGGGGTTACTAAGTAGCCAATCGCAGTTTAGCTACACAGAGACTACACTACACTACTACACTATCGGGCATCCATCTCTCTCGTTGCTTGTATCGCTTCCACTTACAGGCATCTGTCCCCGGGTTCTCTCTATGCTTATATCTCTATGGTTATGTCCTCAGTTTAAAGTTGTTGACACTTAAGTCAGATTGGTTACTTTTATTATCTGTGAAAACGACAATTTTGTATGTTAAAATACTAAATAGCAACTTATGACGTCACTATTGTAGACTACTCAATTGCAGAATATATTTCAATGTTTATTTGATTTAAATTCGTAATAGCTATAAAAGAACTAGAGTAATTATATTTTCCGAGATGTTCTGTGATATGAAGCATTAGATGACGAAGCAGACATTGTCAGTTAATTATGATACAGTCAACTACCCTATTAAAAAACGAACTATAGTAGTTATTATGTAATATTTCCGTAACTCCTTTGTGAGTTTTAGTTTTCAACAACAGAGCAACTACTTTTAGGATTTTATAACTGCGAGTTCGATCCAACTCTCTGTCAAGTTAAACAGAGCCTGTCCTTAACAAATCATAAAGATTTCTTAAATTGACTAAACATTTAAAATTAACATTCCATTAAAATAAAAATATCTATTTATCATAATTTACATTAAACTATGCCTATTAAAATGAATAATATTTGAATAATATTGAACTTTAAAAAAAATGTACGCACAGATAAATTATAACTGTAGCAGACCAATTCTGTAGGGCAAAACGTTGGAAAGCCCAAGTCCTTAGGAATCTCAGACACTCATGTTATTGGAAAGTTCTTATTTTAGGTACCCCAATTTTACTAAATTTTACCCAATTTTTGTGGACGGTCAGTAATACCACCTACGCAGGTAAAACGTATGTCGCTAACTTTTAAACTTTCGCGTTCCATGATAATTAATATTATTTAACGGGAATTAACGCGATCTCTTATTTAGGGTATTACATACCTCTGGTTTGCCTGACGTTTCGACCAGGTTGCACCGGCCGTGGTCACAGGCTGACTGGCTCATCGGCGCACGCCCTCCGTCGTCGAATCCGTGAAGTAGAAGGCTCTTCATCTACCCGCACATTTTCGATATTATTTTTGTGTCGCCATGTACCGTCACATACCACACTAACAGTGTCCCTATTCTGTAAGCAAACCGATGAGTCCCTATTGAAACGTCAGGAAACGAATTGAAACGTCAGGCAAACCAGAGGTATGTAATACCCTAAATAAGAGATCGCGTTAATTCCCGTTAAATAATATTAATTACGTATGTCGCTGTTAAGCGGATCACCTTGATGACGATCCGTCGGTAATTATTAGTTGAATAGTCTCTGTAAACTCTAGGACTCCTGAGTTGCAGACGTTCATGGGCGGCGATGGTCACTTTCCATCAGGTGAACCGTCTGCTCGTCTGTCCCCACTAGCATAAAAAACAAAAACTTGGCGAAGGAGGGGACGGCGCTCCATGCGCTCACGCTTCTAACCATCGACAAAACTATAGCACCAGCTGCCACGGAGATAGCCTAACACACTCTACTTTAACCCAGCCTGGGCATTTAAGTATTGTGTGTTTGCATTCGCGTTAAACCCCGGTGGGGTGATGGCTTGATCAATAATGACTGCACGGGTGGTGGTAGTGGTTTAAGCGGTCGCCACGCCGCTTCCTACTGCGCTGTGTGTTGTGGGTTTGATCCCAACCAATGGGACACCACTGTGTGTGATCCACAAATTGTTGTTAAGTCTGGGTGTTCATTGTGTACGTTTTATTTCATGTACTCGTATGTTTGTAAAGACCCCGCGACACGGGATCACATCACACATCACATCACATCAACAGCCTTTAATAGTCCACTGCTGGACATAGGCCTCTCTTTAGAAAGGAGGTTTTGGCCTACTATACCACGCTGGCCAGACGGGTTGGTATAGGGATTGTATCAAGTTTTCCTTCTTTTTGCAGTGCTAGTGTCCTGCGACACGGGATACATATTCCTATTGAGGGAGTTGTAAAAATAAAAAATATGATATTTATCGAGTCACTAGG